CCAAGGCAAGGGGGAAGTTTTCAGAGCATGCCTGGAGACTAGGTTTCTTGGGGTGGTCCTGTGGGAATGATTATGACACAGCCAAGTTACATAATTCCCAGATGACCCCACACCCAGTGCACTCATATTTGCCAAGCCATCCCCACAACCCAGCCATGATGATGCACAGAGAATCCCTTGCCCACCCTGAATGACCATGTCAGCATAGAACCACACAATGCTGAATTCTGTAGACTACAGTGTTGGCGGACAGGGCATGGATATCCATGCTGAGTAGTAGAAGGGAAGACAAGAGAAAGGAAATACATGTAACATCGTTAAGACTTTCTGAACTTGGACCAGATGTTGACACTTAACATGAAATTCCAGAGAATTGTGATTATTTTTCACTTTTGTCATTTCTCATCAGGTAACAGAGGACTAATATGACAAGAACGCAAATGTGAAAGAAACCATGGGCTCATTGAGACAATTCTGTCATGTAAGATCCTCTGGAAAAAATTCCTAGAGTTAGAATTACTGTAATGTAAACAATGGAACTAAGTTAAACTCATACATTTCTGTTGGTCACTCCATTATGCTGCCTCAAAGAGTTGAAGATAATATATCCTGTGTAAACAAGATGAGACAAACACACAAATCAGAAGCTGTCTCCTAGCACAAGATGTTCTCCACATGCACCATTAATCACACTGGTCATTCAGTCATGAGCAGTAAAGACAGACTGCAAGCTATATACTATCTATTGCTGAGAATGACTGCAGATCAAACCAATGTGGAAATGGGGAAAATACTTTTGAGTTACTCTCACAAAGATGAGGGGCTCAGGTATGCATGCACCACCTACCTTCTCATCACCACTGAGGAAATTCTAAGGGTACTCATTCCTGACACAGTGTTCTTTTGTGGTGTATAGGCAGAGACCTTCTCTCTTGCTTCAAGATGACAGTGAGACACAGGATGGTGGGTGGAAGTCAGCACAAACATATTGAAAAACAATACCAAGATGTGAACATTGCCTGATCACCTAGCTTAAAATAGTTTAGAACTTCACATCTTTCTAAAAATTAGAATCTGGCAGGATGCTCTATAGCTAGTTACTACAAAGCATTGGCTCCTGAAAACACAGTAGGAAGAATTTACTTAAGCATCAATGCCATAATTTGGCTACTGCTCAGTAAGAACTTCAGAGTGCCATGGTTCAAGGTTATGGAGATTGAAGGTACAGACAGTCCCTATTCCCAAGGTGATGAGCTAGGATGGGAAATCCAAGTTAAGGAACAGACGTGACATTTCAGATGGTCAAAAGTATGTCCAAGTTTTTTCCACATCCAAGACCCTACCAATGTTTATCTGCCTATACTTGACAAGAGATCCAGATTCTCTTCTAGAGATACCCACAACAAAGCAGGTATCTGAGTCAGATTGATTTGCTTCCTTTATGTAGAGGAATAAAAGCAACAAAATTCAAACAGGAACCAGAAACACTAAAGGTATTTATGGTTACTTGAGAGGATGTGCAGAGAGTACAGAGATGTTTGCTAAAGTGAACAGGTGTGGCATCACTAGTCATACTTCCATGGTAATATGTAGAACTATCACAAATATCAGAAGATCTGCAGAACATAGAACATTCAAAAGAAATCAACTGTGTAGCCTATTTAATACAGGACAGGAGAGACACCTACAGCCCTGGAAGATCTGTTGTGGGTTACAATGGAACAGTTATACTTTTTCTCCTTATCCTATGACTTCTTCCCATGAATTAACATTTCACTTTAAAAGAGTAAGACTAAGGGCTGGGAAGGTGGCTCAGTGGTAGAGTGCTTGCCTTGTGTGCATGAGGCCCTGGGTTTGATTCCTTAGCACCACATAAGCAAAAAGAAAAGAAGCCGGAAGTGATGCTGTGGCTCAAGTGGTAGAGCGCTAGCTTTGAGCTGAAGAGCTGAGGGACAGAGCACAGGCCCAGAGTTCAGGCCCCATGAGCGGACCCCCCCAAAAATTAAAAGAGTAAGACTAGTTTAAATCCATAAACACTTTGTAAGAACACAAAGTGTGTGTTCCCATAAGAATTATTTGAGGAAGTGGAGCTATAGTTTGCTTGATAGAGTACCAGCCTTGAACAAATAAGCTTAGAGACAGTGCTCAGCACCTCATCACTATAAAAACATAAAAATAAAAATGAAATAATTACTGAGCATGAGATAAAAATCTAATAGCTCATACTCAAAGACTATACCCTATAAATAAGGGTATGTTCCTGCATTACATCACACTATTAGATAAATTACTCCATCTAATGCTAATATATTATGCACAATGATTACAGTCTTCCAAACATCTACTCAGTATTGAAAGGGCCTCTGGGAGAAGAGTACTGCCTGCAGAACACTGCCTGCCCTGGAGCATCCTGCTATGTGTATGAGCACCTGGCTGAATTACTGAAGTGAGCCAGCCCTGCAGCTGTGCCCAGTCCTGCCCAGCCCCTGCATTTGCATTTGAATTTGCATATGCCCAGAGCACAGCACACTGCCTGAGTATTTCTTCATAGTCTTCTCATACCCTGTGCAGGAGTCAGTCCCAGTCAGCACACAGCATGGACATGAGGGCCTCAAATCAGATCCTGGGACTTGGAGTCCTGCTGCTCTGGCTTTTAGGTAAGGAAAGATAGCAATGGAAATTTCATCAGTTCAATGTGGTCAGTTCTATCTGGCTCTCTGTGAGATTCTCATGAAACATGCATATTTATGAGGATATTTGATTCTATGTTTCCATGTCAGGTGCCAGATGTGACATCCAGATGACCCAATCTCCTTCCTTCCTGTCTGCATCTCCAGGAGACAGAGTTTCCATGTCTTGCAGGGCCAGTCAGGACATTAGCAATTACTTAAATTGGTACCAACAGACACCAGGCAAAGCTCCCAAGCTCCTGATCTATGCTGCTGAGTATTTATCATCCGGGATCCCCTCCAGATTTAGTGGCAGTAGATCTGGGAAAGAGTTCACCCTTACCATCAGCAGCCTGCAGCCTGAAGACGCTGGCATTTATTACTGTCAACATTATTATGGTACATTCCCACAGTGATAAAAGCCATAACATAAACCTCCCAGGGAAGCAGAAGTGAGAAGCTGGGCTGCCCCAGATGCTCCTTCTGGTGCCTCCACCTGCTGACACAGCTTCTCACATGCAGCCTGGCTCTTTACACTACTGTAAGTATTTTATAAAGCTTTCTTCAAATGCTCCTCTGTATCTGTGTCTCTTTTCTCCTCCCCTGCCCCAGAAACATGCCCATGAATCTTCTGATATGAAGGCATCCTTTAGTATTCACACAGTAAAACTAAAGCCAGCCATGATTCTCCAAGCAGGAAGTGTTTAAATACAGGAAATGAGTCTCATCACTAGCTTCCTAACTCCTGAGGTAACCAGGGAAGTTGGAACTAGGAGTGTGGGATTCTCTGATTTCATGAAGCTGCCCTAGGGTCTGGGCTGCATAATCCTGTGATTCTCTACCTTGTAGAAAAGCCATGGGAGGCTACTGATGCTCTCACCTGACCCAGCAACCTCTCCAGGTGATGCTGTAGGCCTCAGAACTGGTCAGGTGTCAGCCTGCTTATGTCAATAAATATCAAGGTCTTTCCTGTTTTTCAAATATAATGAAAGGATCCCATGTGATGCAGCTTTCAGGAAACCAGAGATGGGATAAGGATTCCAAAAATTGCACAAGCAATCCTAATAATCATAATGATGGATTGAGATAATTGACATCCAGGTTGGTCACTTGTCCCAAACTCTTAGAAATATTACACCTAAGTGCTGGCCCTAGAATTCCCTTAAACTTGATTCTAAGTTTTGTATGTCAATCTGGAATCATAGGGAAAAAACTTCATTATGTCTTGGGGGAAACTATTAGAAGTTGAAATTTGTGTGAAACATCATAAGTGGGTGATGATGTTGTACACCAATAAACAATTGAAAGAACTTTCTTATTTTTTCTTTTCTATTTTTTTCCCCAGTCATGTGGCTTGAACTCTGTGCCTGGGTGCTATCTCTGAGCTCCTTTTGCTTGAGGCTAGTGTTCTATCACTTGAGACACAGCACTACTTCCAACCTTTTATGTGATTAATTGAAGATAAGAGTATTACAGAATTTCCTGTCTAGGCTGGCTTCTAACTGTGATTCCCAGATCTCAGCTTCCTGTGTAGCTATGATTACAAGTGTGAGGCACTAGTGCTAGGCCAAAGATTATTTATTTATTTATCTTTACTATTTATTTATTTTGCTGGTCCTTAGGCTTGAACTTTCAGCCGGAGTGCTGTCCAGGAGTTCCTTTTGCTTATGGACAGTTCTCTATCATTTGAGCCATATCGCCACTCCTGAGTGAACTTTCTTAGTAGAACAAGTCATTCGCAAACTAATACCACAAGGCACAAAAGATGGAAAACAAATTACTTGGTTTAAGAATTATTTTTCTGGATGACAATGACTCAATCCTGTAATCCTAGCTGCTCGGGAGGTTGAGATCTGAGGATGGAAGTTTGAAGCAAACCCAGGTAGGAAAGCCTATGAGACTCTTATTTCCAATTAACTATCAAAATCTCAGAAGTGAAGATTGGCTAAAAGGGTAGAGTGCCTTGAGCAAAAATGAAGATCAGAGACAGTATCCAGACTCTGAGTTCACACCCTAGTACTGGCACAAATATGTGTGTATATATGTATGTATATATATGCATATAAATACACACACTCATTTTCCTACTGATATGCAGAAATATTTACATTTGATGCAGTCCCATGTGTCTTTTCTTGCCCATATTTCCTGGGCAACAAGAGTCCTATTTATAAATAACTACCTGTGCCCTTATCTTCAAGGACTTTTTTCCTATAGTAGTTGAAAAGTTTCACATCTCACATTAATAACTTTGATCCATTTTGGATTGATTTTTGTAATGGTGAGATTAGGGAAGCAGAATCAGTCTTCTATATGTAGTCATCCATGTTTTCATCACCAAGGTTTTATGACACTCTCTTTTCTCACATGTATGTTTTAAAGCTGGTATAACTTTGTGGGTTTATTTCTAGGAGGGTCTTCTTTTCTGTTCCACTTGTCCCCAGGTAGCCCAACATTGTCTGCAAATGGAATTCTGGTGAAATGAATCCCAGTGACATGACTTTCCAGGTGTCCCTCTTTGAGCTTGTTACCTGGAGGAGATCTTTTCTCAAGGGAAAGTTTTCCCCATGAGTTCACTCTTTCATGATCTTGCAGCCTTTCCATGGGTGTTTAGACAATTCCTGAGATGCTGAGTGTATCTTTCCTATTTCCCTGACACAAGATTTCATGTTAATGGAACTAATCTCTCAAATAGATCTCAAATTGTCATCCTTCTTATCTCTATCAGTCAAAGCAGTTCGGTTTGCAGTTATGAACCACTATACTCAACTTAGACCCAATATTATTAAAGTCCCAAAATATAAGGCATAATTCTATATAACATTAAAGTTGATTTCCACACTTTCCTCTTCCATTCATGACCATTAATGATCTGCCTCGAGAACTTTCCAGAAAACTATTTCCACCTTCAGTTTGACCAGAGTCAGAAGCTAAGCCCTTGCTCTTCCCAAAGGGCTCTTTAGTTAAAGACTGTTAATTATTATGACTTCCCATTCTGTTCTTATATCATTCTAGCCTTTGGTAAGTCAATCAAATAAGTTCTTAGTGATATCAACAAGACCTCCCCCTGGGAAAATCACAAAATTAGCCTGGAACCAAGTCCTGACCAGTCTTTGCTTGCTGAGTTTCATTGTGTTGATCTTAGGGTTGCAATGTCCAATTGCAAATGCAAGTCAATGCAAATGTTGCAATTGCTTCATATAGGAATCAGATGGTTCCAGGTAGGAATTAAATAGTCAAACAGCCTTGACGAGAAAGATGTAGTGTTGAAAACAAAGATGTGCATGTTTCCCATCTATTTGATTCTCTTTGTCAGCACTGAGTGGTATGGCAGAATGGTTTCTGTGAATCAGAGCATGAGGCTGGATTGTAATATGTGGGACAGAACCCTGAGTTCACTGTCGTACCCCTCACTGTTACTGAGGACCCCCTCATTTTTACCAAAATCTTAGGTATCTCATAGGGAACACACATCTAAGGCTACCAACTACCCTGTGGCCACTCAATTCTCACAATTCATCGGGAACCAATAGGGTTTTTCCTTAAACTGCTATGAAATGACTGAGAATTCATTTGCATTTCTTACTGAATTTGGCCTTGCAACAGATGGAATAGGACCAGCTTTGTGGATACTGGAGGAAAGATTCACAGTCTAGACCCTGGTAAACCAAACTGAAAATCCTAGAGTGCTATGTCACAACATGACCACCAGATGGCAAGCCAACCTCACAATCTGCAAAGCACCTGAGTCCAGATCTAGACAGACACCGAGGGCAGGAGTGATGCTGCCTCATTGTTAACAGGAACCTGGAGCTGGCAAGCTTGCTGGACAGCTGTCATGATGCACACATGCCTGAGACACTACTCACACTGCCATGATTCTCTAAGTGTGTGTTTCTGAATATTTTATACTTTATTTGATCTGTAATATGCACACCCTGACTGATGCTCTGAGAATGGAGGAAGAACTCCAGTTCAATGGTGGACCCAGATGTGTGAGAGCAAGCTCTGTCCTCTGAGGAGGGACAAGCCATGTCACATGACTTGGCTTTGTGAATTCTCAGTACAATGCAGGCCTACCTTCTAAGAGATTCAGGTGCGAGATAATTGAATGTATGTGGAAGGAATTGGAGATGGAAAGAATTTGAACTTTTAGTGGAATCCTAAAACCTGTTTTTCAGAATTCTCTGCAATGAGCAAGAAACACAATAGACTTAAAATTCACACATTTGATTGACATGCCGTTCTTATGTTCTAAGGAGAAGACACAATTTCTGAGAGAGACTGTGGATGAGGGACATTTGCTGACTTTCCTCATGAGAGAACTGCAGGGAAGTCAGCCAGTCCCACAGAGCAGGCAAAACTCTGATGGCTCAGTCTCTCAGTCTCTCCCAGCCATTCATCTGGGTTCAATTTCAGTGAGTGGTGAGTATATTCCTTCAATAGAGACTACCACAAGGCAGGACCTATGTTACCCCAGGTTCTCAGCTCCATCGCTCTGGAGGGTGATTGCTTATTTTAGAGCCCAGAGCAAGAGTGTCAGACCTGGACAGAGGCTCCTGATCCAAATCTCTGTAGTTTCATCCAGTGCCTGAAAGTTGAGGTCAGCCTTCACATCTCCACACTTGCAGAAACCACCTGCATAATCAGAAAAATGATTTTATATTTACAATTTGATCCTGACCAACTTCACCACAGTAAGATGTCCATGGCTTCTGCTTTCTTCATTTAAAATAGATGTATTGTGGTGTCACTAAAACTCTCAAAATTCCTAGACTCTTGTGAGTATATGATGAAGGTTCCTCTCGCTGTGAAACTAGCCTGGGGTGTCCAAGAAAAGGCATGATATGATATCTAATTGATCAAATTTCTGTTCAGTACATTTTTACAGGCTTGAGGTCAAGTCTCTCTCTGTCTCTCTGTCTCTGTCTCTCTGTCTCTCTGTCTCTCTCTCTCCTCCCCCCTGGAGATTCAAACAGTCATACTGGTTTCTAGGTAAGCATGATGTTTCTACTCATTGAGAAAGGATAAAAGACAAGGGCATGTATTTTTGGGTGGCAGTGAATTTTGTTGAAGTACTCATATCCAGCATCAATACTTACCACTTCATGCTAATAACATATGAGAAGTAATACCAAATGGCACAAAGGTGATAAATCATGAAAGATCTCAGAATAGGATAGAGTCCTATTTAGATACCAGGGAAGTATGTAAGGAAGTGATTTTTTATCCTACAGATGTTGACTTCTAGTCTTTTTATTTTATTTTATTGTACAGATGCTGTATAGAGGGGTTAAAGTTCCAGCAGTAAGGCAATGAGTACATTACTTGTTGGTCATTGTTACCCTTCCCTTGCTGTTGTCCTACTATCCCTTCCCTTCTTCACCTCCTACACTCCTCCCCACCCCGCCCCATCCCCCCAACCACAAACCTGAAGTTGTAAAGTTTGTTTCCAATATACTGTCCTGTGGGTATCCTTGATGCAATAGATCATCCTATGTCCTTGTTTCAGTGTTTTGTTATTTCCCTCCCCCTCCCCAGATTAGACAAATGTATATACAAATGCAGGGTATCAAAATCAAGTACAGTGACAACAGGGGATATAACATAGGGAAAAGAACATACAAAGGAAACAAAAACAACAACAAAAATAAAATCACATGACTTCCAGTCTTTATAGATCATAGTCATTAATAAAATGTAATGTTTGGAGAAAACTTTATGCAAATCAAAGTGAGCAAGTGAGCCCAAGAGCTGCATGTAGTCTTGAGGGTCAGGCTATGTAGAGCTTTGTATTGGACCATCAGCAATGCACGGGGATCAGGCCTGCTGGACCTATGGTAGCATGGACATGAATATGGGCATGGGTGGGCAACGGCACTGTGTCACCTTGCCATGTAAAGCAATCCCAAGGCAAGGGGGAAGTTTTCAGAGCATGCCTGGAGACTAGGTTTCTTGGGGTGGTCCTGTGGGAATGATTATGACACAGCCAAGTTACATAATCACCCAGTGCACTCATATTTGCCAAGCCATCCCCACAACCCAGCCATGATGATGCACAGAGAATCCCTTGCCCACCCTGAATGACCATGTCAGCATAGAACCACACAATGCTGAATTCTGTAGACTACAGTGTTGGCGGACAGGGCATGGATATCCATGCTGAGTAGTAGAAGGGAAGACAAGAGAAAGGAAATACATGTAACATCGTTAAGACTTTCTGAACTTGGACCAGATGTTGACACTTAACATGAAATTCCAGAGAATTGTGATTATTTTTCACTTTTGTCATTTCTCATCAGGTAACAGAGGACTAATATGACAAGAACGCAAATGTGAAAGAAACCATGGGCTCATGGAGACAATTCTGTCATGTAAGATCCTCTGGAAAAAATTCCTAGAGTTAGAATTACTGTAATGTAAACAATGGAACTAAGTTAAACTCATACATTTCTGTTGGTCACTCCATTATGCTGCCTCAAAGAGTTGAAGATAATATATCCTGTGTAAACAAGATGAGACAAACACACAAATCAGAAGCTGTCTCCTAGCACAAGATGTTCTCCACATGCACCATTCAATCACACTGGTCATTCAGTCATGAGCAGTAAAGACAGACTGCAAGCTATATACTATCTATTGCTGAGAATGACTGCAGATCAAACCAATGTGGAAATGGGGAAAATACCTTCGAATTACTCTCACAAAGATTAGGGGCTCAGGTATGCATGCACCACCTACCTTCTCATCACCACTGAGGAAATTCTAAGGGTACTCATTCCTGACACAGTGTTCTTTTGTGGTATATAGGCAAGGTGGAGAGTTATGACATCACTAGTCATACCTTCATGATGAGAAGTGGAATCATCATAAATGTCAGAAGATATGCAGAACATAGAACTATCCTGATTAAGAAAACTGTGTAGCCCATTTAATACAGAACAGGAAAGACACCTACAGCCCTATAGATGGTGGATCTGGGAGTCAATTTTAACAATTATGCTTTTTCTCCTTTTCCTATGACTTCTTCCAATGAATTATCATCTTAATTTAAAAGAGTTAGACTGTTTTAAATCCATAAACACTTTGTAAGGACACAAAGTATTTGTTTTCCCATAAGAATTATTTGAGGAAGTGGAGGCATAGCTCATTTGGTAGAGAACTAAACTGGAGTAAATAAGCTTAGAGACAGCATTCAGGCCCTAAAGATCAAGCCACATTATCAGAACAAAAACATAAAAATACAAACAACAGAATTATTTGAGAGTGAGTTAAAAATCGAGTAGTTCATACTCAGACTATTCTGTGTGCTCCGTACAAACAAGGATATGTTCTTGCATTATATCACACTATTAGATAACTTACTCCATCTAATGCTAATATATTATGCACTATGATTACAGTCTTCCAAACATCTACTGTATTGAAAGGGCTTCTGGGAGAAGAGCACTGCCTGCAGAACACTGCCTGCCCTGGAGCATCCTGCTATGTGTAGAAGCACTTGGCTGAATTACTGAAGTGAGCCAGCCCTGCAGCTGTGCCCAGTCCTGCCCAGCCCCTGCATTTGCATATGCCCAGAGCACAGCACACTGCCTGAGTATTTCTTCATAGTCTGCTCACACCCTGTGCAGGAGTCACTCCCAGTCAGTACACAGCATGGACATGAGGGCCTCAAATCAGATCTTGGGACTTGGAGTCCTGCTGCTCTGGCTTTTAGGTAAGGAAAGATAGCAATGGAAATTTCATCAGTTCAATGTGGTCAGTTCTATCTGGCTTTCTGTGAGATCCTCATGAAACATGCATATTTATGAGGATATTTGATTCTATGTTTCCATGTCATCCAGATGACCCAGTCTCCTTCTTTCCTGTCTTCATCTTCAGAGGACAAAGTTTCTATCACTTGCAGGGCTAGTTGGGGCACTAATTTTTTAGCCTGGTATCAGCAGAAACCAGAAAAAGTACCAAAACTTTTGATATACAGAGCATCCAATTTAGTATCAGGTGTCCCATTCAGGTTCAGTGGCAGTGGATCTGGAACAGAGACCTTCCATCTAAGAAAAGTCCAGGACCAGATGGCTTTATAGTGGAATTCTACAAGGTCTTCAAAGCAGAGCTCACACCAATACTCCTCCAACTCTTCAATGAAATTGAAAGAGAAAGTTCACTACCGAACTCTTTCTATGAAGCAATCATAACCCTCATCCCCAAACCAGCCAGGGACTCATCAAAGAAAGAGAACTATTGACCTATTTCTTTGATGAACATTGATGCAAAACTTCTCAACAAAATTCTGGCCAATCGACTTAATCAATTCATCCTTTGCTGTGTCCCAGAGGAGCTGTGATTTTCCCGCTCTGGCCTAACTCTCTGTACTGTGATGGCACACTTGTTATTCTCTGGCTTAGGACTGTTCACTGGAACACTAAAACTGCTTTCTATGTGAGAGCTTGTTTAGCCTCCAACTTCTCCTCTGCCATCTTCCTGGAGCTGTGTCAGGACTAAGTTAATTGGTTTTAATAAACCTCAATATTTTGTACTAATTTCCTCAGCAAATAAAGATACCTTGCTACTTCATTTTCCAATGTATTGTCTCTTTTTGTTGTTGTTGTTTTTGGTCATGGGGCCTGAACTCTGGGCCTGGCACTTTTTCTGAGCTCTTCAGTTCAAGCCTAGCACTCTATCACGAGCCATAGTGCAACTTCTGGCTTTTTCTGCATATGTGGTGTTGAAGAATTGAATCCAGGGTCTCATGCATGCAAGGCAAGCTCTCTACCACTGAGCCACCTTCCCCATGGTATAACTGCTGTTTCCACTGTATCTGATTCGGGTGTCCTGTATCTTATATATTCATTTCTAATTTGGGGAGGGGAAGGGATATAACAAAATGCTTAAATAAGGACACAAGTTAACCCATTGTAAGAATGAAATGTACAAAACACTATGTTGAAATGAACTTTACAATTTCGGGGCAAGGAGTTAGGAAGGTAAGGAAGGAAGAGATGGTAGGGGAAAAACAAAGAAGTAACCATGCTCGATAAAAATGCACTCATTACCCTACTTATGTAACTGTACAGTATTTTTACTGCATACACACACACACACACACACACACACACAAACACACACACACACACACACACACACACACACACACACACACACACACACCTTCAGTTGAACCCAGCACAGGGAGGGATTGTGAGGTGGTGGGATGTTGGCCTATGCTGCCCCCTGCTGGTCAGCATCATGAACCTCGAAGTCTAAGGCGGATTATAGTTCATCATCCTTACTCTTTCAAAATACCTTGAATATTTTGCCTCCTACAAGTCATTTAGCACAACAACTTCAGAACTGCTTTCAAAATAAAGAGTATTTGTGAAGAACTTGTCCAATCCCCTTTTCATATATAAAAAACAAGGCCACTCAGAACTTTTGCCTAGTATATCAGTCTTGAATTCTACTGCTGTCCTCAGTGTTTAAATCCACTCTTTTACACACCTACTTCAACCTATAGTCACAAGATTCTCAGAAACTTCTCTGTACGTCACAGAAACTCTGCTGTCATTAGCCCACTTATTAATGGGGCAGTTGTTTTTTTTTTGAGGATTTGTTGTTAGAGGATTTATTTTTTTGAGTTCTAAGTATATTTTAGATATGAGATCCTTGTTAGTTGTATAGTAATTGTTTTTAGATGTGAATGCCATCTACTCCTCAAGAGAAATCCATAGTCAAATATCTTTAGCCTACAAATTATGCCATGTTTATCCCAAACGATTTTGGAGATATGATTGGGTTAAACATGTTTGTTAAAATAGGATGAATTGCTTGCATTGTCTGAGTGAGGCTGAAGTCATCCCAAGGTTCCTTATAGTGTTGAGTAAGGAATGTCAGAGAAAGGAGATGATGGTGGAAGTCTGGGTCATGATTGATAAGTGTGCACAAAGCTAAGAATGTGACAACATGTCTGAACTAAACGAGGTCAGAAATTGGACTATTTCTCTTAGAGCCAAGAAAAGGAGTATAATACCCTTGAGTCTTTAATTTCTATCTTTCAGAGTCTGTCCAGCTGATTGCACCCCACACAGCCCTGGACTTGTGCACTTCCTCCATCTTCCTGAGAATCTGTGTGCCCTGCCTTCTGGGCAAGAACGCTTGCAGTGCCCAACAGAAAGTGAAGAGGCACATACATGTCTCTTAGATCCTTTTGCATTGACAATTCCTACAGGAAAACTCAGTAAGAAGCCTCTGTGTTGGTTTTATGTAGTAATTTACCACAGTTTCTGTGACTTGAAGAGGAAAAATGGGAAATCAATAGTTCCAACAAATCCAACACAGGAAAGCCACAGTGCCACATTGGAGCTGGACATTTTCTTTGCATACATTATAGGATTGTATTTAGTCAATGAGGAAATGTCAGTAAGAGCGTTGAGGCTAGTTCAAACTCTAATATCAGTACTCAGGAAGATCTCAAGTTCAAGAGCACCCAAAGGTATATAGTGGGTTTCAGTACAAGTAAAGGAGCAAGCAAAACCAACAAAACAAAGCAAAAATGTCAGTTGGGACTGTTTTGTACCGTAGCTCTACAGTATTTGAACTCTAATTTAATTCTGAGCCTTTTGTTTGGCGGTCTTTCTGGCACTGTGTCTACTTACTGGCTAGGTTGACAGCTGTGGGATAAACTTTCAATGAAAACCCTGGAGTACCAGACAGCAGAGGTGCTGCCATGTACAGAGCAGGTATAGCCTGTGACTATAGGTTGAAGGAGGTGTGTGGGAGAGTGGATTCAAATGTTGGGAAGAGTACTAGAAATAAAGGTGAATAAGCTAGGAAAAACTCGGAGTGGCCTTTAAATATAAAAATGGTAGGAAAATTCTTCAAAGACTTTATATTCGAGTTTTTGAATGCAGTTCTGAAGTTACTGTACTAAACTGGTTGTGGAAGAAGAAATATTGAAGGCATTTTTGAAAGAGGAAAGAGGATGAACAATAATTATCCCTAGACATTGAGGGGGCAGCAAGGGCCAACGTCCCACCACCACCACACCGCTCTCCTGTGTTGGTGTTCAACTGAAGACATCTTATTGCTCAGCTCTCACTTGGCTTTTCAGTTCAGGACTGGCACTCTACCACCTGAGCCATGCCTCCACTTCTACCTTTTTCTCTTGTTGTTTGGAGATAAGAGATTTTTATTTGTCTGCCAAGACCAGCTATAAACTGTTGATTTTCAACTCTCAACCTCTAGAGCTAACTCTAAAGATACTATGAACAAATTTCTCTTCATTTAACACATTGATGTCACATTTCAAAATTGAAAAGATGTTTTTCAAACAGCATCCTGGTTCTGAAACATGACTCATAGTTCAATTCCTGTCCCCTGTCCTTTTGACTTCTAAATAGTGGACTCCCTCCAGGGTCCAGCAGGCTTTCATTTATGTACAATGTCGCCTAAGAATTGCTCTGTGTCCCAGCTTTGGACCTCTAGTTCTGACTTCTCCTTTGTCCTTCAGAATTTCACATTCACAGCCACTTAAGGAACATTTGCAGTCAGAGATCACAAAATTCGAATGGTTTCCTCTTGAAGTCCTGATTCCTATCTGTTTTCCAAATTTGCTTTCTGCTGGTCTACCCTTTCCCAGAAATATTCTAAATTTTCTGGTTTCCCAGGTTCAAGCACATGCAGCAGTCATCTTTGATTTTTCTCTTCTTCTGGCACCTCACCTCTAATATGCCAGCAAATAAATATATTTGCTTTGTGTTTAAAACGTGGAGAGCTCTGGCCTTCTTTCAGCACAGTTATCCAGGGGTTTCTAGCCCTGAGTAGTCAGATGTATTTTAACGTGGATATTCTTTTCAAGGGAAATTAAAATGGGACTGTTAATTTATTCAGTAAGCTTTTTCAGAGTCCCCAAATTGTTCAATTAGTATACAGTGTCCTTGTGATGAATCTTTCTACTCTTTTCCTACCCTGTGGTGGTCCTGAAAGATGTTCAGAATTAAGGAACAAATTTCCTTGTTGAAGTTGCTAGATGTCATGAAGGTTAGTTTAAGTTGGGGACTATACTGCTTAACTCTTGGACTAGTAAATTTTTTTTCAATGCAGAAGACAAAGGGCCAAGTGGAGCATAAACCGAAGAGATGGTAGTGAGTCTTCATGAAGAATTATCCATATATTTCTTGGTGACTGTCCTCAATTGCTGTGGGATGAATTATTGAGAAGACTCCTATCCCTTTTCCATGTCGTTATGCTGGTGGATTCTGGAATTTTCTGATCACTAAATTGTATTACCTTGAATATAGATGATGTGTGAATCAGGTGTCACAAGTAATAGGAACCAGCACTAACAGATGTAACTATAAAAGAAATTTGTGAAAAAATGTATTGGAAAATAAGAATCAAAATGAAACAGTAAATTGAGAGGATGAGTGGATCGAGATAGGGAGAATTATGAAATGGGTGACATTGATCAAAATGTACTGATAAACTTACATGCTAAATTGAACCTCCCTTATACAACTACTGACAGATAATAAAATAAATAAATAGAAACAGAAAGAAACATAAAAGGTAATAGTTATCATGGTTACTTCACTGTTCTTGTTAGCTTCTATTAAGATGACTAAACACCAGTTATGAAAACAAAGTCCTATTTTGGTTCATGGTTTTTGAGGTTACAGTTCCCCTTTCACAAGTAAGAGGGTGATGGGAGACTGCAAATAAATGGGGATAAAACCTTCAACCCGGAAAACGCTTTATTTTTCAAATATAATAAAGGTTTACTTCCATTTATTCCATGGAAAATTAAACATTTTCCATTATAACTGACAAGACAGGGGTACTATGGGAAGTGGAAAAAACAGACACTCATCTCATTTGAGTTTTGCCTTGTACATTTATGTTTGAGGTTAGGATAAATTATATCATTTCCCCAAATGGGATAGCTGTGTATCAACAAACAAGTGTGTTGTGCTCTACATTTTCTTCAAGATCCAGTCAGACAGGATAAGATAATCTTGTATTTGTGACATCTGCTATACTAGACCCACTAATTTGCTGCTAGGAACTAACCTCTCCCCCCCTCTCTCCTTCCTTCCTTCTTTTCTTCCTTCCTTCCTTCCTTCCTTCTTTCTTTCTTTTTCTTTCTTTCTTTCTTT